CAAAACCCCAAAACCCCAAAACCCCAAAACCCCAAAACCCCAAAACCCCAAAATTATGTATAATTACTGAAGTAGTGGAAATTAAAATAAGCGTAATTGAAGAAAACTTTAAATAACTATATCTTAATATGCTTTTGGATAAGGCATAAAATGTTAAAATGTGAGTTCATGAATATCTTTGACCCTCTGCAACAGTGAGTTTGTGGTCAATTTTGGCTAACTCCTCCTATAGATATCTGAGTCTGTCTGGGTCGACTCCATTCTTGATGTACCATCTTTAGAGACGCTTAGACTTATAGTGAGTGTCTAGGGAGGTATAGGCTGTGTCCTTGCCATAATTTCTGAAGGAGTAGAGGATGCCTGTGACAAACAAACCCTAACCAATTGAGTATGTGAGAGGTTCAACAAGATCCCAACCAAGCCAGTCTACGGCATAGATGCAATAGTATGACACACCAAATTGAGTAGCGAACAATAAGAATGCAGTATTAAAATATAACTTATTGCGGAAGGCTGCTTTTACATCCAATTTATCTTTCTTTTCTTGCAGCTTACTAATTTAATCGAGAAGTTGAACTCTTTGAAGGTGAAGCTAGTAAATTTCTGCCCTGACAACAACGTCCTCAAAGAATTAAATTGAGTCTCCTAGAGTCTTAACTAGATCATTCTGATCTTGTATCTTTCCTCCTTTCTAGCTAAGTTGCAGTTTGAATTGATTTATGAATGTAGATAAAGTAGTGGAGTGAGTAGCAGATAATCCTTTTGATTCACATAGGTTGAAAATTTGATCATTTTGAAACTTGTGAATCACATTCGATTTTTTATTTGCCAAAGAAGGGAATTCAAGAAGATTGCCATTGATCTTTAAAAAAAGTTGCTGATTCTCATCAGTTAGAATACTGTACAAACTTGTAGATTCTTCATTCTAGATGGTGCTACCCTGATTGTCAATGAATTATAAATCAGTGGCGCATTTGTCCTCGGCCTGGCATTAGTTCTTGAAGTCTTTAAGAGTCTGCTTATTATCAATATAGAACCAAGTTTCTCCTCTCACTGGAAGATATAGCTTTATTCTTGCAGTTTCAAAAGCATATTCTACCTTCAATAGATCTATAAGGTGCAATTAGCTTACATAAAAGGCTTACTAGAATTAACTTATTGAGCGAAAGGTGATGTTTATGAGGCGAAGTTTCTATTTTGCATGTACGATTACAAGGTCCTCCTCGCATAGTAGGATCTTCTGCTGCCGCTGAGTAACATATTCATCATCAACATTTTATTTTCCAATTTTTAATTAATATTTTAAGGAAATTATTACTAACCTTTGTTTCTGATATCATTCTACCCCATGGGGTTTTGGGGTTTTGGGGTTTTGGGGTTTTGGGGTTTTGGGG